TTCGCCACTTTTAAGGTCTGAAGTAAGACCTCAATTGCGTAGAAGTGATCCCTCTTAAAGTTATCCAAAAACCATTATTAACCCTTTTACTGCCGGACAACGATATATTGTCGTTTTACAATTGCTAATGACTTCGGCCGACACTAAAAGGGTCGAGGTCTACAATTAAAGCTTCTAATTGTAAGTAAGGTCGAAATTACCTTTTTATGGCAGAGGTTCATATTCTTTTTTGTTTATCATATTGAGATATAATGCGACCCAAGACAATTCCACTTTATCTTTATCCAATACGGTCCAGACATCCCAAAAGGTTGGACATCCCTGCTCTACACGGATTCATCAAGGGAATACCATACCGTCCGTCTTTTCCGAGCCCGACAGTCGACTTACTGCTCATCTTTTGAAGTCGATACACACACGAGCCTCGGGGAATGTTTAACTCTGGGAAGTCGTGGCACTCGTTCAGAAACTACTGTTTCCCTGGATTATCAGCTTGGTCCCCTTTGGGCTCTCACGCTTCCTCGACGCCTTTGCCGGCATTCGTCCTGGACGCTTCACCGAGAAACGCCTCCCTGGCCAGGACTCGCAAAATGCTTTTCAGGTCCCTCATCACCGCTCGTTTGCGAACGTCCTCTGACTCCGAGTTACTCGGTAAACTTTCTTCTACTTACTTCAAGGCTGTCGTCACTCTTCCGGAGGTTCCAGCAATAGGAGACAACTTTATTTCCCGTCGCTCCTTCTCTTGTGGCGAGGAGGTAACTTTCTCCATTTTCGCGTCTTTCCACGGTTGGACCGCCCTAAGTAGGGCTCCTCCATCGATGCTTTCAGGACAGTGCTCTTACGTCTTTACGAAACCATTTGCACGTTGCGCGGATCCCATTGTGTTATTGAATTTAACGGAGAGAGTGAGCGAGGAAGGATTTGACGACTGGGTTTGAAGTTAGTGTACTCCTAATACATATCCTAAAACTTCCGCAGAGGAGAAACTTTAGATTTCTTGTTTTTGTCATGTTAGTCATAGTTCACCCCTTTGGAGTGGTGTAGCATTCCTGGACAATAGTGTTTCCACCGTCCTTATACAAAATACGTTTATGCCAAGTTGCATCGAAATCCCTCCACTGCTTCTATGAAAATTAATACAAAAATCGAATTTTCGCCAAACTTCGGGAGGTTGTTTCACCCCTTAAATGGGGACCATTGCAGATAAAGAAAAACGTCACTTAAATTTTTGGGTTCTTCAACATATATGAAAATCAAAAAGATTGGCGGCGGCACTTGGGATTGTTTCCTTTTCAGTATAAACGAAACAAATATAACATGTTTCAATACAATTTACGACTTTGAAGCGTTTTGCATGTTTCCCAGATTATGTCAGGGTAAGTGGCTTAAGTGCGTCAGCGATTTCAGAATGCCGTAGTTAGGTATTTGTGGCGCCATTTGAACGGGTTACTCGAACAGAATCCAATAGAGGAAGCGAACCGTAGTTGGAACAGACGAATGCGCTCACAGTAGGTTTCGCTCGAAGTACGAATTTCTATATTCCGGCAGCGTACAACCGTCGTTCCATATTAACCCCGGACTGGGTGGCCATCCACGACCACGAGCTCATGGTCGTCGGGCGACACGACCCTGTTCAATGAACGCGAACACAGACCATGGACACGGGTCTGGTGAACCGAATACTAGTCTACATCTGATACAAACGGATCAGTCGTTTGAACATAGAAGTGATTGCGATGGTTGTGGGAAATCCGAGTCTCAAAAAGGAAACGGTTTTAGTCTGGAGACCCTATCGGCGCGTCAACGATTTCGATCTCACAAATAAAACCAAGTAAAGGAAATCCTTAGATAGAGTACGAGACAGAGTTATAAGAGCGCATATTCTTGTGGCCATTGAAATTGCAACCCCAAGAATGGAAAGTAACCCGTATCAAGAGTCTTGATTAGAAACCTACATCTTTTAGAAGAACTCGACCAACTCGAAGATTAAATGAACGCGAACACAGACCATGGACATTATGTTATTCTCTTGGAAATCAATGAAAACAATTTCCTTTTTTGAGAGCCGATTGCCTTTGACTTAAAATGATAAATAATAATGCGATTCAAAAACAATGACGTTCAGCTTTAAAATTGTGACAGTGTTTCGGTGATTTCTAACGATTTTCAGCGATTTCCAGTTGATTTCCACATGATTTCATTCGCCAAAATCCATGATTTCCTGAGTGAACGATACTAACATTTCTACTACAATTACATGTAATTCCTTTAACGTCCATAACGTCCTTAAACATGTTCCAATTATGAAAGTAAAAATACCTTTATTAAATAAAATTTCATTTATGTTCACTTCCGTACTGATTTAGGACGAAGAGCAGTTTCAGATGACTGGACTTCGCTGATTCGAAACGTACGTCGAAAATGGGATCGAAAGAAATCGAATCAGGTTGTACGGAAAATCGGAAGATCGTGATGTTCAATTTACGATCCCAGGAATTGGTGCGTCGTGCAAGTGTTGGACGTGCTCGCAAGTAGAACTGCCAATGCGGAAAGAACATGCCCAAATCGAACACTGGGAGCAGCTGAGAGCTAGCTGCGATAGCCAAAACCCACAGCCATCCTCGACATCGTATAGCTCGATTCATGGCGGGGCCAAGTACCAACTAGGTTAAATCATCGCTCCAAAAGGACCTTATGAATAATTTACCATGGCGTAAAGTTTTCCTGGACCGGACAAGGCTTGGACTGCAGGATTAAAGCGTTCTCCGCGAAGAAATTGCAAGACAGCCTAGTTTCGAAACTCGTAGAGTGCAGGGAACGCAGGTGAAGTAAATTATGATATGCCTGCCAGTATTTCCTGAAGAGTAACGAAATTGCACCGTGGTGGGTGCAATTTAGCAAGACGCTTTACTGCCACGTAACTACCCTTTATAAGCAATTACCGTCCTGAATTATATACATGGCCTTGATGCCGAAATGCAATAATGCTGTAATTGCGGCACGACCTTTTCTGGTGATACTTGAATTGAATTTATAGACCTCGGTTGAACCTCTAAAACCTCTATTCTTTTGTTCCCTTGATTTGTCGACAGAGATGCCAGTCTCATTCAGTCTCGCTGAGAACATCAGAGTTCATTTTTCTCAATGGAACCTCGAAGTCCTTGGATCGTTTCAATTAAATTGAAGCTTGAAACATCTGAGAGTGGAATGATTACTCTATTTTATACAAGTTATACCTGAAAGTCATTAAACTAGTCGTTGCAAATTAATTAAAAATAATCAAGAAATATAATAAAAATATGGGTTCTTTTCATTATTGCATTTATAAAAATTAGAATCTTAAATATCTAAAATTTAATGTTACAATTTGAGTTAATAATTCATATAAAATTCTATTACTTCGATTAGGAACGAGGGGAAGGCCATCGAAGTTCGATCGAGTACTTGAAAATTGCCGTTCTCGAGAGTCAATTGAGTCTCGGTCTAATGCCCATTTGGACCTCGACTCTACAAAATCGCAATGACTGCATTGAAGTTAAAATAACCCTAATTTCATCAACAATTTCGTATTTTAAATTTCCGCATCATGCTCCACATTCGTTCACGAAGCTTTTACCAGGTAACCGTGTTCAATTCTTAAATGTCGTGCAAGTGAGAGAATATGAACGATTAGGCGGATGTTCATAACCCGTGGGGACTTTTCTCAGAGTCACGTCTTTAACAAGTTCCCTGCCGCATGGGGCGTATGCGCCCCACGCTGAACTTTCCGTTCAAGCCATTTGGTATTATCATTGTAAAATGAAGAATTTTTTAAAAATTCATTATGTAGTCAATTATGGGCATCTTAATACTATTGCTGATGCGCTCATTTGATTAGGCGGATGTTCATAATCCGTGGGGACTTTCTCAGTCACGTCTGTAACACGTTCCCTGCCGCGTGGGGCGTGTGCGCCCCACGCTGAACTTTCCGTTCAAGCCATTTGGTATTATCATTGAAAAATTAAGAATTTTTTAAAAATTCATTATGCAGTCAATTATGGGCATCTTAATACTATTGCTGATGCGCTCATTTGATTAGGCGAATGTTCATAACCCATGGGGACTCTTCTCAGAGTCACGTCTTTAACAAGTTCCCTACCGCGTGGGGCGTATGCACCCCACGCTGAACTTTCCGTTCAAGCCATTTGGTATCATCATTGTAAAATGAAGAATTTTTTAAAAATTCATTATGTAGTCAATTATGGGCATCTTAATCCTATTGCTGATGCGCTCATTTGATTAGGCGGATGTTCATAATCCGTGGGGACTTTCTCAGTCACGTCTGTAACACGTTCCCTGCCGCGTGGGGCGTGTGCGCCCCACGCTGAACTTTCCGTTCAAGCCATTTGGTATTATCATTGAAAAATTAAGAATTTTTTAAAAATTCATTATGCAGTCAATTATGGGCATCTTAATACTATTGCTGATGCGCTCATTTGATTAGGCGAATGTTCATAACCCATGGGGACTCTTCTCAGAGTCACGTCTTTAACAAGTTCCCTACCGCGTGGGGCGTATGCCCCCCACGCTGAACTTTCCGTTCAAGCCATTTGGTATCATCATTGTAAAATGAAGAATTTTTTAAAAATTCATTATGTAGTCAATTATGGGCATCTTAATACTATTGCTGATGCGCTCATTTGATCGTGGGGCATACGCCCCACGTGACCTGAACGGAAAGTCTTCAAAAAACGGTCTGGCAGGGAACGTGTTAATCAGTTAGCTGTTGCGACCTCTTTGAAAAGTGTCCACTTCAGGACGAATATACTCGTCAAAAAGAGCTAACTGGTTAATCAAGAGAGACGTGGTGCAACTTGTCGTTCCTCACTTCTACTAACTCCATCCCGATCAAGATCAGCTCCGTGAAAAATGATCATAAATCACGGGTATCCTTCCTGAGCTGTGCTGACAGAAAGGCTTCCGCGATGCATCGTTAAAAGAGGATAAAAGTTGGAACTTACCGATAATCAGTTCCCTCGCCGAGCTGTCTCACAGTGATGGGAAATTCGCTGGGTCCGTGAGCCTTCAAAAGCTCCTGAAGGCGCACCAGGCCTTCGTTGTTCTCGTAGATTATGGTGAAACTTTTCCAACCCCATGCTTTCACCAGATCTACGTACGCCTGGAAGACACAGTGATTTTACATTTGCTACGTCAAGAAGAAACTTTTACGGATAAGCCGTTTCGACGGATTCAATCTCACCGAGTATTATTAAATTATTACTTAGGATTAATCGAAACAAGCACAATTCTAAAGAAATCAAGTACTGATTAAACGCACCGACTACATTCTGTATTGCAATCAGTTTTGGATATAGTTTACTCCAAATAAATCTAAATTAATTCCTTCCTCTCTTTTTCTTTAATTAGCACGCTTGTTTGAGATGCTAATTTTTAAATTAACCCGTTTCAATCACTCTTGCTTATAATTATAACTGTTATGCAACTGGCAAAGGAGAAATTAAAATTATTATAACACATAACGTTTAACGTTTTATCAGAAATGTCTATGTTTCTAATTCAGAAATTAGCCACAGTGAATTTTATAAAAGATCATATGTTAAATCATTTGTGTGGAAAAAGCGTTACACGTGAAATTAACGCTAAAATATGTCCTCGCACTATACAAGCATCGAAATTGTCGTTCGTTCAAAAAGATGTTGTAACGTTCGTCATAGATGTGTATTAAAGCTTATTGTGGTAGACACATGAGCGACGTGTGTCGTTTCCGATGCACGTAACAATGCGTATCATAGATTTCTAGGTGACGCACTTCTGATACGATGGGTACCGTGATGTGGCAACGCACGTTCTGCAGTAACATTGTTTAAAGCGCAGTCGGTCTTAACCCTTTAATTACGAAACGCCACTATAGTGGCTTCCGCATTACCAACGTTTTTTACGAAACGTCACTACATGGGCCCTCTTCATTCCCACGTATTCAAAGCGACAAAAGAACATCGTATTCATATAAAATATTACCACCTCGCGATCGAGTTATCCGTACAGGTTGACATCTCCACGTACAACTCGACCGTAGATAAAGGGTTAAGACTCGTGTCCATGTGCAAGTAACTTGGGACACTTCTTGCTAAAGTAGCTTGAATTTGCGGGTACATTATCAATAAAGTTGCACATGTTCACTTCCAAAATCGTGTACACTATGGTAAGAACTGTCTGAGAGCAGCTCTCGCAAGTTTTACTTGCATGTGGACACGAGCCAATGCGAGCATCAAGAATAAGTCCCTTGAAACGTACGTCCGGCACAACGGACGTTGGAACAACGCTCATGTAGTGCCGGTCTTGGGGTCTTTTCATGGGCTCCTGGTGGCTACACGGTTGAACTATTCGTAAATCATTCCTCGTATTTTAATAATAAATACCCAATCATCCTGAGGAGGTTGAATTTTGAAAAAAAATAAAAGATGCAAAGAGAGTTCTTGCCTTCTCCCTTAAGGTGCTGTGAAAGAGGCGTCTGAGGTCTCGTTTATATTATAAATTTGCACATGTTCACTTCCAAAATCGTATACACTATGGTAAGAACTGTCTGAGAGCAGCTCTCGCAAGTTTTCCTTGCACGTGGACACGAGCCAATGCGAGCATCAAGAATAAGTCGCTTCGAACGTACGTCCGGCACAACGGACGTTGGAACAACGCTCATGTAGTGCCGGTCTTGGGATTTTTTCATGGGCTCCTGGTGCCTACACGGCTGAACTACTCGTAAATCATCCCTCGTATTTCAATAATAAACACCCAATCAGCCTAAGGGGGTTGAATTTTGAAAAAAAATAAAAGATGCAAAGAGAGTTCTTCCCTTCTCCCGTAAGGTGATGTGAAAGTAGCGTCTGAGGTCTGATTTATGAAATTTTTCTCCGAACCTGGTGTACCGAATCGTTTAAAACTTGTCAATGTGAACATGGAGGCTATAAGAAAGGTCCTGACGCCCATAAAATTTCAATTTTTTAAAATTGTTTATAGATATTCAAACATTCTTTATAAAAAATGAAATTTCAACTGGGTCAAGACCTTCCTTACAGCCTCCATGTTCACGTTGCAAAGTTTGAAACGATTCGATACATCCAGCTCGCAGAAAAGAGTCATGAACGACTCACCTTTCGGATGCCACTTTCACATCCCCTTAACCCTTTGACATATGTGCGAAATTCATCAATGCGTGCAGGCAACATTGGACCGAACGAAGGACGCCTTTAATAGCCAAAGGGTTGAACTTTCGACGCTCAGTCTGAGCGAGATAGAAATAAAAAAGCGAGATAAATGCCCCGCTGAGTTACCGGGCCATTCTCTCTTGCTTGGGCGAAAGAGCGATGAATTCGATGTCGTTAAAAATTGAAACGTATTGCCGATATCCCGGAATTTGCCGTCTTTGTGTGGTGGTTTTCGGGGGCCGCAATCGGTATAAAAATGGGGGAATTGGAAAATTTGGAGAAGGGCGAGCGTAAGGGCGACCGAACCGTGGCCGTCACGCGGGCGGCTGTGTGACATAAATAAATGAAATGAAATCCGGCTGGACCCGAAATGAAAGGCGCTGGCCGCTCAAACGGGCTTCTGCCAAATGACAAATGTGGGTGCGGACTTTTTCGAAATCTATGCAAATTTGTGCGGGAAGCCCGCGGCCACGTACCTCGCGCCCACCGATCTCACCTACGCAACGCGGGAAAAAAGAAAAAGAGAAATGCCCTGCCAGAGACTGGGATTATTCGAGAGGACAGCAGCGACATGTTTCTGCTAGGAGGGCCGAAATTTACGATATATTTATGCATACCGGCCAGAGCTGGGGACAAGGCGATATTTATATCCATCAGCTGGAGCTTTGCGCAAAGCGAAGGAAGGGAAATACTCTTGACGTTAACGTTTTATCTCTACAGAGATGGACAATTGAAATTTCCTTCAGAAAAATTACTCACTGTCGAAAGGAAACTTTCAGCGTCGGAATGTAAAAAGGCTACCCCTTCGATAAAAATCATTTTATTGATTCTGATCATTTTATTGATGCGCTAACGGAAGATTGATAATTAGAAATATTGCTCTTTTCGGACCCATCCATTTATGCGCAATCTAAAAATAGAATTATAGGCTTATGTTAATTAAAATATCATACAAATATTTTTCCCCTGTAATCTGTATTAATGTTTCGAAAATACTGCACCGGTTGGTGTTTCTGACTCTGCAACTGATACAACCGGTAATGGTAATTCGTTAAAGGGGCATGTCGGTTTAGATAAGGTACATGAAACGTCCAGATGAAGAGAAATATTTTATTGTACTTTCCGAAACTCTGAACTTTTAAGAACATCCTCTGGAAATTTCTGATGAATATTTGGAAACAGATCGACATTATCGTTACGTGACTAAAGATGTCTCAGCCGAAGATCGGTTTCCATTCTCCCTGTACGGGGATTACAATATGAAAGTGTATTTATACAAATTATTATGAATGTCAGGGTGTACTTTTAATTCGCGAAACCACGTTTTCACGTTTTCGGCACTTTCTTGCACAAGTGGGAAATCCTGCTTCATCACGAGTTCGTGCCAGTCGTCTCCGTGCGCCGCCAAGAAAGTTCGCGGGGGGCGACGTGATAGCGGCCATAATTTATAAATGCGAAGTCACTGGCCATTACATATTTTCAACGCGTGACGAGTGTGTGCAGGGGCCGGCCTTTGCGGTCAATGTAAATTGGTTGGAAATATTTCAGACGTGCTCCCAGCTCAGCTATCCTTCTTCCCATCCCCGTAACTTCTGCGAATGGCGGCATTGCAGCCCTCCATCGTCGTCCTATCGGCCAAATTCTACCATAGGGCTACGCCACAAGGAGAATTTATTATTGTTACACCTTTGCCATGTCGGGCACGTATGTGACCGAGTACCATATACTTTATACCTTGTACTTTTCCCGGCTATGGTTTACGTTTCGCCGCCACCGCCACATCGATTCCGCCAACCGGAATCCCCGAAACGAATGCACCGCCCAGAAAGAACGTTTTTCTTGGACCGGGTCCGTGGTACCAGTCAAAAGAGTATCCGCTCTTCGGAACCGCTTTCGGAAATATTTCCATAAACACAAAAGCACAACAATGGCGACCAAGCCGGGATCAAGGGGCCCATTTCTACGATACGCGTATGCATAATGAGGTGGCGTCGGAAGGGTTATGTGAATTTCTTTATGGCATTTGAGGTCATGCGGCTAAATCCTGGAATAACTTCTGCCAACGTCCACGAGGAATTCCTGGCTCGAGTAAGAGCCTTTAAGGTGATATGAAAGGGTCATTCTATATATATGAAACGTCAACATATTGATAAAACTTGTCTCCAACCTGGGTGAACCGAATCATTTCAAACTTCAGCATGTGATTATGAAAGCCATCAGGAAGAACGTGGTGCTCGTGAAATTTCTTTTGTGATAGAAAAAGTGTTATTTCGATCAGACTAGCACCAAGAATACATATTTAAAAAGAAATAATACTTCCCCAGCACCATGTTCTTCCTTAGGACCTCCATAATCACGCGCTGATGTGTTGTTTCGGTGCACCCAATTTGGAGAAAAGTTTTATAAATATTTTCATATTTTATATGTATAGAATGACCCTTTCATATCACCATAATACCGAACTGCCACCTTTAAAGGACTTGTCCACTGAACATGGCGCTTAATTCCTGGCTAACAGCTGCTCTGTGCCGTCTAATGGTATGCAGTGGGTAACTGCTGCTGAAACGTGTAGCTCGAATTGCGAAGAACAAAACGGATGACTCGATCCAACATTTTAATGCATGCAGCTGTTGGCCCGAGAAAGTGAACAATTATCGGAACATTTATTAAGTACAGGAGGATGAAAACGTGTACTTGGACCAATGCGCTTTAGAAGCTGCCAAGCTGGATATCAACTCAGACGTGAAGATATTGCGCGTTATTATGATAATAACAAGAACCTGATGGAGTGGAAGATCAAGAAACTCGGTAGAGTTACGAGCTAAATACGTTTTTCAGCAAGAAATTCCCAATGTGGAGTGTTGTGAGAAATGCGCCCTGCGCGTTTGAGCTCAGGTGAGACGGTACAGAGTTCTATACTCTAAGGATCCATTATTTAAGAGTGGAGGGATTAGAA